TCTTTCTTCAAAATTGTGTTTATAAGCTCTCAGTTTTGTGGATAGATGAAAGAGATAATACTATGCAGGTTTCAGGTCAACCTTCTTGTTTTGTATACTATTTAGTACTCAGATGGAGAGTAGTTTGAAATATAACCAAAGATGGCTTACTTTTTGTTAGTTTCTCATGTCTCTTCTTTGGGCAAGGTAGTTTCAAATGTGTAGAGCATACTATAATGCATGTAACTGAGCACTTTTTAAATTGATATTAGACTTTTCCATTTTAGAGAGGATTACAGCTCATTTACGTAATGATAGATTTATAATCCTGAATGTTTGAGATTCCAAACATTTCTCCATTTGATCCATTCAGGGTTTTACATTTGTTTTCTAAAGTGTCTTTTACATCAGTCGAATAAAGATAAAAGCCCAAAAGAATGATTTTGTCATTGGAAGACCTAAATCTTGTTAAAATAGTATATTCCAAATATACCCTAGAGAGAATGTTAGTTATGATTTCTGTTATAAGGAAATAGGGTCCTGCTAATAACCTAATTCACAAGGCTAGAGTTTAAACAAACAATTTGTTTTTAAAAGCATTTCAGTGTTGCCCCTTTAATGATTAATTATTTGATATGGTAAGTGTTGTGGGGAGAGAACATACATATAAGTAATGTAGCTTGATTGTATTCGTGCTATACTAAATCAGAACATTGATCTGTCTATAGATGAGACCTTGCCTCTGGCAGTAGGTAGGATGTAGTGTATTGAAATAAAGCAAACAAAAGAAGAAAAAACTAAATTTAGTCATTTTGCAGTGCCTTTGAGGAAATGAGAAGCAAAGTTTCAAAATTATGCCGACAGGTTGGCTGATGCTTGAAGCATGAATTTTGATAACTCTTATCTTAAATTTAGTTTGCAAAGTAAGATATAATCAATGCGCAGAAGAGTTACTTGAATATTCCATTTTCTGAGCATTAAGGAATGTTATTTGATTACTAGAATCATTCAAAAATGATTATCCCTTAGATTATATGTGTTGCATTGCATGTGTTTTTCTTGTCAAATAGTATGCATACCAGCTTAGCAGATGATTGGAAATATTGAGATAAAATACTTATTTTTCACGTATATGTGCTTTATACAAGATGTTTCAGTACTTAGACTGCTAAAATGAAAATGATTATTTCAATTGCTTGTCAAACTATTAGATGCATTAGATCTCTTATCAGATCTCATTTAAGAAAGTACTCTAGACCCTCTGTGGCAATTCTTAAATGGATTTTAGGCAAGAAGATTGTTCACAGCAAGAGACCTCTTAGCATTATGTATTCAAGGCATTATGGCTTCTTTCGTTATAATGTATCTATATTCACATTTTACTCCAAATGGCTGGTTCTGAAACACCAGTCTTTCATTTCTCTGTATTACTGGGATTCAGGCATTGTTTTCTCCCTGTAATATATATTTATGAATTATGGAAATGTAAAAAAAAACCCAACATAATTTATACGTTGTGATTCAAGAACACAATCTAAGCATCCTAAGGTGACATTTGGGCCATATATATGTTTATGGATATCATATTCATTATCAAAAAGAGAAGTATTTTATGATTAGAATGAGTACATTTTACACCCCGTTGTCTAGTTACATCTAAACTGTATCAAGATTCATTCTCTTATTTATTAAGTTTTGGGGATAAAGCAGACAAATTGTTTTGAGAGTTGTCTTATTCTATTAATGTTGATTATCCTAACAATCCTTGCATTTTCATTTAGGTTCAAATTCAATTCACACTTTGGCCACAGAGTATCAGATTAAATATATATATCCTTGTATATAGTAGAAGCCAAGCATAGTTAATACTAAAGCCAAATTCCCATTATAAATCTTTTTTTAAACCCTCTAACCCTGTTGTGTTTCTCTCATACTAAAATCAACCCTTCTGAAGTTTTACATGCTAAATGTTGTTGTTGGGTAGATTACTCAGTAGTTGGGAAGGAGAAGACCAGTTAAAGGAGTTTTACAATTCTGGCCATTAAAAACGTTCGCATCACTGATTTTTTAAGTATGTATGTCACTTATTTTAAAATATAAACCATGCATTTATTTTGTTCGTGGTCCTTATTGGAGGTAAAGCGGCCTCCCCATTATGGAAGTATACTCTATTATCACTCAATGTGATGTTTTTGGTGCTTGCACACCAAGGCTAGGGACAGAATTTACACGTAAACTGGTTTAAGTGATCAGAAACTGATTTAAACCTGTAGAAGTTCAGTGCACATAAACCAGTTTCAAAATGGCCTAAACTGGTTTAAGATAAACCTGGTTGAATGTAGTATCAGACTTAACTGATTTATATCAAACCGGTTTATGCAACTTCTGTCCCAGACCCCTTTCTAGTTTAACTTAAATCAGAGTCCCCCAGCATCCCAGATGCTTTGCAACCCTGGGCTGGGCTTTGCTGTCTGCTCCAGAGACCTGGGCTGACCCCTCCCCTCTGCTTCCCAACCTAAGGGAAGAGATATGGCCCCCTGAGGCAAAGGGAGGAGGAAGGTGGTTTATTCTGCCCCCTCCTCTACCATGGCACTGCAGCCCCTGTCACCCATCCCCACCTCCCCAATCCAATGGCAGGGGAGGGAGCATGGCCAAAGCGAGCTGGCATGGCCCCTGCCATCCACCTCCACAGCTCTGCGGCCCCAGCCTGGGCAGCCCCAATGCCTCTGCCCTCAGCAACACACACAGCCTGGCCGGGCTCAGCCCCGCAGCCAGCATTCCCTCTCAGCTGTGCGGCATGCGCAGCTGCACAGGCACACTCATACCACGCTGCCACGCATGCCTGCATGGCCGCACATGCTATACAGCTCAGAGGGAACGCTGCCTGCAGCCCCAACTGCAGCCACAGCCTAGGCAAATAGCAGGGCTATGCTGGTGGCTCCGGCCAGGCCCTCCGTCACCCAAGCAAGAGTAGGAGAGAAGACTGGGCAGACCCCGACTATGGTCCTGTGCCCAGAGACAGGGGAGTTTAACTCCCGTTCCCTCCCCCCACCCTTTACCTGAGGCCCTACTCCGGCCAGTGCCTGGCCTCAGGAACAAGCCTGGCAAGGGCTGCTTCCCTCCACCTTCTCCAAGCACAGCCTGGCTGGCATCCCTACAGGCCAGGGTCGGGGTTTAAACCCCTCCACAATCATACTTAGCTCGGGGGGCCTAGCCACACCCCCAGGTCAGATTCCCTCCAGCCTTGCAGCTGCTGCGAATGGAAGGGGGTGCTGCTCAAGTGCCTCTCGGCTTCTAGCCTGAGCCACTGCAGGTATGCACCTACATTTCCAGCATGAAACATGAATGTCTGTGCACTTGTAAATAAATTCAGTCTTTGCAGGTTAGACTAACCTGCAAAGATTGAATCAATTTCGGCTCCGGCTTTTTGAATGTCTGTCCCTAACCCAAATCACAATTACCCCACTCCCCCAACACAGCTATGAATCTGCAGAGGAAGTGATTGTCCTTTGCCATGGTAGAGTTCATATGTTCTCAAGCATTTTTGTAGGAGAAAGTGGTTTACCCACCTGTTCCACCTAGATGATTTCTTCTTCCTCCTTGGGCCATCCTACCCCCCAACTTACAAATCAAATTTGCTTTCTAAAGTCAAATAATACATTTATTTTCAGAAGTCTCCTCTACCAGATTTTACATTTCAACAGAAATTTTTTTCTATTTTCAAAGAAGGCATACTGCAGTAAAACATTCTTGTTAACTGGCCAAGAACTGGGGAGCCTGCATTATAGACATCTGCAAGACAGTCTGTTTGTGTTGCTTTCAAAAATTAGAGAGCTATTAATGACTTCTTTGTGTCCATTTCTTTATCATGGACAATTATTTCATCTGGACTTTCTGTTTCCAGCTACCTTTTTAACCTTATACACCTCCTTTGTGACAGTGACTTTTTTTTATCATATGTGCCTGAGAAGGGAAAGAAGAAACAAGAAAGATTAGGTACATTGTAAATTAGTCCCTTTTTTATTCCTAATTTAATGAAATTCATTCAGAAGCTGAGGGCTTGTATAGACCCTTTTCAGAAAGTATCCAAAAGAAGCCTAAAGTGTCTGGGGCAGATCTCGTCCCCTTTTCTGGCAGTTTTACACCTCTCTGGCAAACCATAGCAATTACCAATTCAGTAGCTGTTGTTTGAGAATGCTCTTGCCTTGGGATAACCTTAGGTACATAGAATCAGGATAAGAATTCATTTCCCTGCATTATCAGGGCCCTGCTACATGTTCAAATTAAAGCTGGATAGAAACCATCTGTAGAGTTATTACACATTTTCAAGCACTAACTTTATAGCTGTTGGCTCTTTTTATAGCCGGATAGTCATTTTATTGTTTGATAATTACTTTGCATGGGTGGCTGGCCTAAGTTTACTGTGTGTTTAATCAGTTAATTGCATGATATATGGAATATTTAATAGGGGCCTCGGAGTCACATCCGAGGCACCATTTTTGTGCCCCAGAAAAGCCCCTATGGTCTAAGTCAACCAGGAATAAGATAAAGATCTGAGGCTTTTCTGACTTACCCTGGGCTTTGCTGGCCCTTAGACTGAGAAAACTATTGAAAGTACAATCTAGATGAAACTGCTAATTGGTAGATACATAACTGGTTGAATAACAGTGCTCAAAGAAGAGTCATCATGGCTCAATTGTAACTTGGAAAGAGGAATCAAGTGAAAGACCCCTGGGTCTTTCATGATCTTGGTACTATTCAGAATCATCATTAATTACTTTAAGGATGAACTTAAAGGACTCCCAGCCACAAGGGTGCACCATGCCCAGCTGGGGCTGAGAATCCTACAACTGAAGGGACTCTCAGCCCCAGAAGCTGCCAACTGAGAGTCCTAGCAGCACGGAGACCCAGAGTGCCACAGCTGAGGATACTTGATGAATGGGAGGCATGGTTGGGGGTTACAGCTGCACCAGGGATGCATGAGGCCTCCTGGAGCCTGGGGAATTATAGCAGCCATGATCCCCCAGCCCCCTGTGGTTCAGAGCCCTTCAACTGATGGGGCTCCCAGCTGTGGGAGCTTACTTCTTTTTGGTACAGGGGAACCCAGGATTGGGCTCCCCCTGCATCAGCAATAAAACAGGATGGGATCTCATGTGTGGATCTTGCATTGTATCCCATTGTGCCTTTACCTGTACATGTAGAGAGTGCATCAGTAAATCTGTAGATAATACCAAGATGGGTAGAGTAACAGATACTTTGGAGGATAGTCTTAGGATTAAAAATGGCACTGATAAATAAGAAAAACATTCTGAAATAGAGCACACCATGTTCACTTAGGACAAGTGCAAAGTTCTACACTTAGGACAGGACAATTAGATGCACAAATACAAAATGGGAAATAACTGCCTAAGGTGCCTTATTGCAAAAAAGGGGTACTAGTAGGCCAGAAGTTGAATACAACTGAAAAAGAAGCTAATCGTATACTGAGATGCATTAGCAGTGTTGTTGTAATCAAGTCACAGAAAGAGATTTTTTTCACTGTATTCTGCATTGGTGAGGTCTTGAGTTTTGTATCCAGTTTTGGAATTATTTAGTCTAGAAGAGACGAGGCTGAGAGGCAGTGCTGTAATTGGGTGGGGCAACTAGGGCTGTTACCCTAGGGACACCAGGAGCTGACTTCAGGGGAGAAGACAGGGCAGAAAAAACATCTCCCGTAGCTGCACGATCATGCCTTCCACACTGCTGCCCCTGTGTGTGGCATCTGTCCTAGGTGCCCAGCCACATCATTATTCCTCTGCTGAAAGGGAATTTGGTAAGTCTTCAAATCCAAAAAAAAAGGCTTAACTATAAAGAAGATAGCATTCAATTGTTCTCTTTATCCATAGAGGACAAGAAAAAAAAGCAATGCAACAAAGGAGATGTAGTTTGGATATTAGGTACAACTTTCTAATTATGTGTATGGTTAATAGAGGTGGTGGAGTCCCCACCACTAGAAGTTTTTAAGTGCACATTGGGCTTTTTTTTCCTGGGACAGTTTTGAAAAGGATGATCCTGCTTTGAGCAGGGGGGTTGACTAAATGATCTGTTGAGGCCCCTTCTTTTAGGGGACTGGGTCATGGGTGGTCTGGCACAGGAATCAAGCTTCCGAAGGAGGGTTGAGAATCCAGCAGCTAATTACCAAACTGAAGTAGTGTCCATAGCACAAGCCAGGATCAGAATCCAAAAAAACAGCAACTGCGTTACCAGAGCTGGATACAATCCACAGAGCAAAGTCAGAGGACTGAGTCAAGCCAGTGATCAGAAAGAGAAAGTCACTTCTTAGAAATGCCAAAGTGAATCAGTAACAAATAGGGCCCTGGTCTTTCTACTCTCAGCATTGTTCCTTCTTCATTAAGCTTTGTTTAATGCGCTTGAAAATTTGTTCACAGGAAACACCAGAAAAGTCCAAAGTATTTTTTTAAAATGATACATCCTTTTGCTCTGGGGAGGGCTCAGCCCAGGTCTTCTCCCAAATGTAGTCATGACTCAGAAGTCAAAGAATTTTCTGTATGTGTTTCTTCCCATTCCTCTAATCCCACAAGTCCTCAGTGGCTGTATATACACAAGACACTGACTGTGCATTAGCCCATGATTACTGTGAAGTAGTGTCACGTGGCAGGAAGCATGATGCGACGCAACTGCTCAGTAGTCATGAGCTACTGCTCAGTCAGTGTCACAAGAAAGCTGTTCCTCCATGCGACTGCGTAGTAATTCGAGTTACTGTGCAGTCATTTAGTACTTGTTTATACAAGTTGATATTTGTTTATACAAGTACTAAATGACTGCGTAGTAACAACTGCACAGTCAGCATCTCGTGTAAATGCAGCCTGTATGTTGTTACAGAGGCCGTTGCTCATTGCTCCCAGACGGCCATGACAATTTGGTATTAGGATTTGAGTTAGCAAAAACTTTTTTTATATCAACATGTTGTCCCCTTCAGCTGTGATATGGAAAATTTATCTTCATAAACTACTATCAGAATTTTTCAGACAGTTGTATTCCTCCAATGAACCATTGTGAGTTTTTATACAACTCTAGTAGTACAAAGTAGCTGCAGAGGCAAATTTCTACACCTCTGTTTGAGAAGACAAGGTGCCACTCAAGAGTGAAAGGCACCTAAATATACTAACCTAAATATTTATTTTCTTTTCTCCGTCAGGTTAATCCAAGAAGAAAAAGAATCGACAGAGTTGCGCGCTGAAGAAATAGAGAACCGAGTGGCCAGTGTGAGCTTAGAAGGCTTGAATCTGGCCCGTGTTCACCAAGGTACATCTATTACTGGCTCAGTGACAGCTTCATCACTTGCAAGCTCTTCTCCTCCTAGTGGACACTCGACCCCAAAACTCACACCCCGCAGTCCAGCCAGAGAAATGGATAGAATGGGGGTCATGACGCTGGTAAGGAAATGTGCAATGGCAGATTTAAGCATAATATGTATATAAATAAACCTGTGAGAATGTTTTCACTCTTTAGCTAGTTTTCTTAATGTGTATTTTGTCCACCTGTTCATCACATGATGTAAACCCTTCAGAAAAAGGACAGGTTTGAATTTTGTTAGGAGTGCAGTACTTGGCACACTGAGGCTGCGTTCTCTTCTTAGGGCCTGTTGCATCCTGCAGGTCAGAAAAATTAGTAAAGCACTGGTACTGTAACTGATTAATATAGAATTACTAATGCTAAGCAAAGATATCTGAGATGGTGCAGTTCATAAATAATAGCTTGCAGCAGATCCCCAAACTGTTAAAAACAGTCCATTTCAAATCTTCAGCAGATGTCTAACAGAGTTATTACTTATCTTAAAAACTTTATACATTTTATTTTATATTATTTTATTTTCTGTGTCGTATATGTGACATATTTTATGTTTGGCAGTAGATGCTTTTCATTCCTTATATATTAGGTAGTTGAGTAGTTGATTTGTTTTCAATATTCTGTTTAACCAATATTATTTAAAAGCTGTGTTTAGTTTATTTCAATAGTTCATTAACCCACATGGAGTAGATTCAGCTAAGAAGTTTGTGATTTTCAGGTTTGTGTTTTGTCAGATGAAAACAAATTAAGCTAAACTAAATGAATGGGGACAGCATTTTGAAAAGTTTTGCAAAAGATTCCAATTATGATTCTAGTGTAAACATGGATCAGTTTAGCAAACTACATTGCAGCCAGTCATATTGCTGCAGTTCATGTAGACATACCAAGCTGGCTTTAAGTTTCAGTGCAGGTGCAAATGCTACCTGTGATCCCGATTATATATTCAGGTGGCTAGCCCAGCTTAAGCTCCAGGCTATAGGATTTCATTTAGCAAATAATGCACTGAGAATTTTTGCATGCGACTGCTTCTGATCTCAATTTAATTTCAGAAGGAGGTGAAATGCTTCCTTGTTTTTGCTGCCTGGGAATGTACAGGACAGATGTCCTTTGGCTAAAAGGTCTAGACTGGGAAATCCTCCATGGAGATTAAGGCGCCAGGGAACCCAAATTGTGAAAAGATCTTGTAGTGGTTGGATGGGTGCCAATAACTGCAAGCTGATCCCCCAGTCAGATCTATGTAAATTGTATAAAATCAGCTCTGCAGAGGTTGTTCAGCTCTGGTTATATTTAAGAGTGACATATTTGCTTAAAGTAGGATTGTAAAGGAAAGGAGCAGTGCACATTCTAACAGACTTCCACTTCGACATTGGACCCCCATGCACATGCCCCAGTATGTCATGGGAGGGAGCATTTTAATTAGAGTGGCTCTCGGGAGCCGCTCTAATTAAAACATCCACAGCATCTCATGTATTCAGTGTCCCACATTTCAAAATGGTGGTGAGGGCACTTTAACTAAAGCTTGTTCAGTGAGCTTTAGTTAAAACACCCTGCCTCCATTTTGAAACACCGGAGCATTCTGATTAGAATACGCCAGCAAACTTGATTAATCAAGTAAACCGCCTACGGTAAAGAGGTCTATTCATTTGGATTAATTATTGAAAAGCTCAATTACATGAAAACATTCATTCAGATTTTGCGGAGCAGGAGACAATTTCCCTGTGGCATGTATAGCAGTTGACATTACATTTTGCTTCCATACTTGTATTTTAGTGAAATGTTAATATCTTTGAAATACTAGGCACAATTCCAGAAGTATTTGCCTTTTATTATTGCTCATTTTAGGGGCTGTGGTTTATATGAGCTCTGAGTAGAAGAGGCTCTAAAAATAAATATAAACATGAAAATGTATGTATATTGTTCCTTAGGCATATGTAAATGAGGGAGATGACTGTAACAGTGGGTAATTATTTGTGGAGCAGGGAATTTTTCTGGATTTAACTCATTTTGAAATTTTTTGAAGGGAACTGTTACTGTGTGTGCCATTTGTACTTTGGGTGCCATTAGTACTGTTTTTATAACTTAAAATAAATAATGCATGCAATCCCCCTCTTTCTTTGATAAAATAAGATTTACTAATAACTGCTTTGTTGTTGCTTTTGCCCTCCATCAAAGCCAAGTGATCTAAGGAAACACCGGAGAAAGGTATGGCAATAGATGTTTTTGTGTTTAATAAAGGTATTGGATTGCAGTAGTATAAACTTTGTGTTGTAAGGAATTTCCATTTTTCTCATCTGAACATTTGGTGAAAATGGATTTTCATTGACTTCAACCGTAAAAGGTTTGGAAAATTGTGAATCCGTTAAGCTTCTTGGATGACTTTATTCAACAGTAAGTTCTTTAATACAAACCAGGCCTAGTTATATGCTCATTCCTTTCATTAAACATTTTGTCCATTCTTCTTCTTGATTTATTAGCAAGAATCTAGTGTTTGCTTTCCTGTATAGTAGAACAATGTACAGTTTTCACATAACTGCTTGTATGTATGTTTTTTACAAATTTCTGTTCTTTACATGGTTATTTCCTAGCATTTTGACTACTTCACAAATAAGGTAAAACCTTGGACTTGAGCATGTATACATTTAAGAAAAAAATCCTTTTTCACTCGGTGTGCCCAAATGGCAGTTACCATAATTGATATTTTTGTTATTTACACATCGTTTGCAGCTCTACCCCAGGAGCTCTGTGGACGTGTACTAAGTGTGCACATCAGATCTATGACTATATGCAAGTCACAGAATTCCACCTGGAAGAAACACATTTGGAGGGAGGAGGAAACTCCCATTTATTACCCTCATAGCAAAGTGGCTCAGGTAGTCACCCATAAAGCACTACACCCAAATTCTAGACCCTGTTGCCCAAAGGGAGTCAAAACCTGCATCTCTTCATCTTTTCAGCACAGTGGTTTACCTACTATGCCACAGGGGGGGGTTGGGTATTATCTAGACCCTTCTGGATGGGATGTGTGGATCAATAAGATGTATGATATGCTTGCAAAGGAATGGGGCCCTGTGTGCTAGCCTGGGGTATGCCCCCAATACATCAGAAACTTCCTTACTACTCTCCATGCATTTTATCTAACGGATATTTAATGCAAGGTGCAGTACCTCTGCTACAAATGGTGAGCTAGAGAAAGGTCTGGATAATTCCTAATAGCGGGCCTTATGGTTAAAGCATTGTTCTAGGAAGTTATCGAAACAGATACTCAAATCACCCTTTACATGAAACGGTCCTAGAAGCTGGATCTCCTGATTCCTGGGTGAGTGCCCTAAACCATGAGAGGATTCCCCCGCCCCTGCCCCCACCTCTCCGGGTTTGCCAGGGCACAGTGTCAAGACATACGCTCAGGCACAAACATACAGAGATTCATACCTGCCCAGCTACTGCAACAATATCATAAAATGCATGTAAGTGCCAAAAACTGGTAGCTATGCCACTGCAGGTGTAAAGTGGGACAAGTTTCTGCCATTGTATCATGATAAACTTTGCATACATATGTCATTCTCTTGAACTCAACGGAACTACTCATGTATAAAATTTTTAGCATATCTTTTCAGGATTAAACCCTGTTTTGCATAAAAGGAATGATCTGCTTTTCTGAGATTTGTTCATTTATTCATATTAAGACAGCATACCTAGACTATTTAATAACTTTTCTGAAAGTCTAACTGTTTTACGTACTTCTTCGTATTTGGTCACAATATTTTGGTTTTTGTCAAATGTTTCATTTAGCAAATTCTTGAAATACCCGCTGAAACTTACTAAAATCTTTAATAGCTGATACTGATTTTTACTCATATATTTTACTTCAAGATTGCAGTAGTTGAAGAAGATGGGCGTGAAGATAAAGCCACAATAAAATGTGAAACTTCACCTCCTCCAACACCCAGAGCTATCAGAATGACTCATACTCTTCCTTCTTCATACCACAATGATGCCAGAAGGTAAGATGCACATAACATGAATTAGTAATTCACAACTTTACCTTATTTTGTCCCTCTAAAATTATTTTAGTTTTCAGATTTCCTAATACAATCTATGTATTTATATAGTTCTTTGAATTTTTTGTATTTTTCCTGTATACAATGTTCAGCTAATTATTGGTACTAAAAGTAATAATGTCTATATCTGTAGCAACTTGGAAAGGGAACCTGGCCTTAATAGTCACCTTGAAAGGATGTTGTGTACATAATAGTAAAAATCCTGATGAATGAAACAGAAGGCAAGGGGAAATCAGAACCAGAAGTGCCTTTTTGTAAATAATTCTGTAGTCCAAGAGCCAGGATGGGTATGGATGGGGGGCAGGGGTAAGCTGAACATGCAAGAGAGAATGGTAAGGAAAGACAAAGGGATAAAGAGAGATGGTACTGAACGAGGCAGAGAGACGTTCTACAGCAGAGTGTTGGGCAATCAAAAGAAAGGTCTGTAGGAGAAGCTTTTGGTGGTATGGTAATGCTGATCATTTCTGTGACATCTTTATATTAGCAAATTTCCTAGTATAGATACAACTATATCAAATAAAAGTACTTTCACCAGTAAAGCTTATTAGCCATACTAGCCAAAATACTCTCTTGCTGGGGTGAGTTTTCCTCACATTAAGACATTTCTGAAGCTTTTGGAAAACTTTTCTTCTGCAGTACTAGATTAAGAAGGAAAAAATACTGAAAATATTTGGTATAAAAAGTGATATCACATACGTGGGAAATTTTTTAACGTCATCATACATATTGTCAGGAAGGTGACAGTTCTCAACTCAGCCATGTTTGATTAGCATTATTATACTTTTGCTAATGTTTGCCTAGCTTAATTGCAAATGTTGCATATTATAAGGATTCTAACACTGCTTTTGGGAGACTTTTTTTAAGTTTTTCCAGATATGTGCAGTATAAATTCTGATTCTTAATTCCATTTATATAAAACCTAATCATAAAATCCCCCTGTTGCACTGTACCCACTGTATCCTTCACTTTGAATTTTAACACCTTGAATAATTTGGAGCTAGTTATGTCCCCTCCACTTGACTTCTTTGTTCTTTTTTATAAGCTGATGAGTGTTACTGGATGCAAAATGTACAGAGTTATGTTTATCTTAAGATGACAAACATATTCGATTATTTCATTCCCATGACTATGTTTCAATGAGTCAAAAGCAGGATTGGCCATCAGAGGGCATAATAGATGTACAAAATAGAGCTCTCACTATTAAAAAAATAAATATTTTCCAATTGTTGTAATACGTAGAATCCAGTTCTGAGAATAAAAAACAACTTTGACCTGAGATATGCTGTGTCACAGCTATTGGCAAATCATAGAAAACTAGAGCTGGAAGGGACTTCAGGGGAGGTCACCAAATCCAATACTCTGCTACAGGCAGACTCATCTCTGTCAAAACCAATGCAAACAGATGTTTATCTTATCTGAATTTTAAAACTTCCAATGATGGAGATTCCATGAACTTTCTAGATAATCTGTTCCAAGGCTTAGCAATTCTCATAGTTCATAATATCTAACCTAAGTCTCTTCTGTTGCAGTTTAACCCTATTATTTCTTGTCCTGTTGCTTGTAAACCTTGAAGAGTTGATCGCAGTCCTCTTTATAACAACCCTTTTTGTACTTGAAGACTGTAATCAAATTTCCCCTCAATCTTCTCTTCTCCAAACTAAATAATCCCACTTCTTCCAAGGTTTCCTTATATATCATGTTTTCTGTACCTCTCATAATTTTCGTTGCTCTCCTCTGGTGTCTTTCCAGTTGTTAATGTCTTTCTTGAAGTCTGATGTTCAGAAGTAGACACACTACTCCATGAGAGGTCTCACAAGTGCTGAACAGACGAGACATTTCCAGTGATTTACATCTTATTTTCTTGCACAATATTTCATTGTCAATTCCTTTTCCACGTGCAATCCATTATAACCACTAAGGGATCCCTATTTCATATTTTCTCCCAATTTAGCACTGGGCCATTGAGGACTACTTTTGTAGCACAGTTATCCGACCAATTATGAACCTTTCTTATATTTGTTTCATCTAGTTCATATGACCTTAGCTTACCTTTGAGAATGTTGTGGAAACCATATCAAAAACCTTACTCAGGTTGAGATATATAATAGGCATTGCTACCCTCTATCCACAAGGCCCAAGGTCCATACAGACTCTTTCTTATCACTTGTATTTTATTTTCTTCATTTTCCAGTATCTTTCCAGGTCTCAAAGTTGGACTGTTTATGCTGTAATTCACTGGGTCCTCCCTTTAAGAAAAAACAGATGGGCCATATATTTACCCTTTCTCAGGCTTCTGGGACCTTACCTGCAATTAATTGAGCTATTTTCTTGAATTCCTCTAGAATGACTCTTATCAAGCTCTGCTGAATTTGAAAATATCTAGCTCATGTAAGTGAGCTCTATATTCTGTAGGCTGAGTACCTGTCTACTTCTCTTTGATGCTAATTTTCCTCATTATCTGATGATTGACCTTTCTCGTATAAACTGAAATTAAAAGGTATTAAAACCTCAACTGTCTCTGCATCATCCACAGTTAGCTTCCTGTCTCCATTTAGGATGTACATTCCCCTTGGTCTTCCTCTTATTTCTGTTCTTTTTATTTATAGAATGATTTTTGTTGCCTTTTAGATCTTCTCCATGCTATCTCAGTTTACATATTGGCATTTCTGATTTTGCCCTTATATGGTTGTACTATAGCTTTATACACATCTTTAGTAATATGGCCAGGTTCTAGTTTTTGTAACATTTCCTTTTAAATGTCAAGTCACTGAACAGTTTGTGCTTTAGTCAAGCAGGTCTCTTCCTACATTGCCTATTCTTCCTTCACATCATGATAGCATGCCTGTGTACCTTTAATATTATCTCTGTAAGAACCAAACAACTCTTCTGGATTCCTGTCTTCCTTCAACTTGCCTCCCATGAAATCCTGCCTTCCAGTTTTATGGCTTTATTAAATTGTGCTTTTCTGAAGTCAAGTGTTTTTATTCTGCTGTATTACTTTCTTGCTTTCTTTAGCATCGTGTACGCTATCATTTCATGAACACTGCCATCCAAGTTGCCTCCCACTTTCATATCTTCAACCAATTTGTCCCTTTTAATAAGAAAAAAATCAAGATGAACACCCCCCACAACTGGTTTTCCTGACCTGCACCAGAATGTCATCCTCTGTTTAATGCAATAACTTTCTGATTGACTATGCAGTGTTGTTTTAACTTCCCAATAGACCTTTCAGTAATTAAAGTTCCTAGTAAGCACCACGTCATGTGATCTAGGTGCTTCAATTACTTGTTTAAAACAACAACAAAAAGATCCATCCACTACTTCTGCCTGGTTTGGTGGTCTAAAGTAGACAGCCATCAGGAAATTGTCCTTGCTATTTTTCCCTCTTACCGTAGCCCAGAGCCTTTCAGAGGTCTATGTTCCACTTTGTTCTGGAGCTTGGAACAAATGCATGTGTTTGTGTGTATATGTATAGTTGTGTCTGTGTGTCTGTGTGTGTGTTTGTATATGCACACATAAAAACAGCACCTCCTCTATTTTTCCTGCCTGTCTACCCTGGCCAATTAGTGTTCTAGTTGTATGAACTATTCCACCAAGTCTGTTATCCCTATTAAATCATGATTTTGCCTGTGCATGGACTTGGACTTCCAACTTGCTTATTCCCCATACTTCTTACATTAGTATAGAGGTATCTTAGATGACTGGATGACTGCCTGGCTAATTCCTGTCCATTGACCTTGTTAAGTTTCCCCATATTTTCTCCTCTTCTTAGGTCTTTATATAGGTCACTCTACTTTTTACTTACCTTTAGGCTGCTATCTCCATCCCCCACTGGACATACCTTTAAAGCTGACCTCACCAGATTAGCAGGTCTATGTGCAAAGATATTGTTCCCCTTCTTTTTTAGGTGGCTCCCACCCCACTCAGTAAACTTTCTTTTTGGAACGCCACCTCATGATCATAGAAGCCAAGGCCCTCCATGTAGCATGATCTGTGTGGCTACATGTGGATCTCAAAGATGTCTTGGCTCCTGCCCTGGCCCTTAAGTAGATGAGAACACAATTTGAACCTCTGTCTCCTTCATGATCACACCCAGGGCCCTATAGTTACTTTTGATCTGTTCAGGATCATACCAAGCCAAGCCCACATGGATTAGACATGTGAAATAGTAGCGAAAAGACTAGATGAGTCGTGGCTACCTTTCTGTAATATCTCTAATTCAGGCTCCCACCAGGCAGCGGGCCTCCCAAGACAATGAGTCATGTAAACAAATAGATACTTCTGTCCCCCACATAAGGGAATTATCCACTAACACTACCCTTCATTTCCTCCTAGAAGTGATGGACTCGGTCCCAGTCTTTGACTTGCCCAGCTTCAGCTTTTCCACCATACTGAAACAAAAATGGTACCTCTCCTTCCATTGTCCCACTGATAACTTACATTAAACTTACATAAATTTACATAAAAGCCACCAAAACACAGAAAGAGAACTCCATCTCCAAACCTCCACTCCTGGATGGCATTTCTGCTTGCTCACTTTACTGCTAGGTAGCTGAATGGCCTAGACTAGTGCTGCTTCCTTGTTTACCTGATATGTCTTGGCACCTGTGCATAGTTCACTGCCTCCAACAACCCTGCAAAGTGATACGAAGTGTTATCTACAAGGACCAAGCAGACAAACCTTCACCCCAAGGCTTCCTTCTCTTATCCCAAGCAGGAATCCTATTTAAGCTTGAGTACTCCTCATGTCACTCGCTCCTTGAAATCATTCCTCTTTCCAGTTGTCATCATTCCTCTTTCCAGTAACAAAAATTCACTATATTAGCTATAATTATCTGTTTTACAGGATATTTTTTTATTTGAAGTTAAATCTAAATAGCCAGTGCCTGTTTTATAATTTAATAAATGCCCCAAATCTGCATTTCTTTAGTTGAAATGTAGAATCAAATAAAATTCACATTATATTTGGTGAATGAATTAAACATAAAATTAGTTGATCTATTTATTCTAAGAACAATCTTTTATACAAAATATTTGCTCTTTATAACTGTCTAATAATGTAATGTAAATGAGATCAAATCTCTCTCATGGATATATTTTTCTTTATGAATGTAATTTCCACAGAATGTTAGTTAAAAACTGTATGTCATCTGGTTCCCAAAGTTTTCCGACATCATTTTTTTATAACAAATTAAAAATATCTTCTCTAGTTGTATGTCCTTCCTGCCATTTTTGTGGAGATGTGTGAGCTTGACTGAGACGTTGGACTATTCTATATATTGCAAAACTATATAGGAAAGAAAACATCACTAGTTTGATTAATTGTTCCAATGATGCAGAGATACTTCTTAGATTCCAGTTAATCTGTTTGCACAGTTGCACAGGAGAAAATGGAACATCACCCGGACAATCATAACATGTTATCTATTCTATTCTTAATTTTATAGTAGTTTGCCTGCTTCATTGGAGCCAGAAAGCATTGGTCTTGGCAGTGCCAATAGCAGCCAGGACTCCCTGCACAAAGCTCCCAAGAAGAAAGGAATCAAGTCTTCAATAGGACGTTTGTTCGGTAAAAAAGAGAAGGCCCGACTTGGACAGCTCAGTAAGGAATTAGTTGTACCAGGCCAAGGTCACTGTTTCACAGTCATTTTTACATTTTTGGTTTTTCTCCTTTTTTGTTTTTGTTTTTGTTTTCCAGACTGCTTATTCTTTTGCTTTGGCAGAATCTTTCCAAAATATTTCACTACATTAATGAGAAAATTTGTTAGTAATTTGATATAGTGATGATCTAAATTAAAGGAAAGCTTTCTGACACCATTTTTTATTAAGTTTTAGTAGATCTATCATCTTAAATTGGCTTACTCACATGTTTCAAGTTAAGCTTAAACTTAAATACTTTGTTGTAACAGAGCAAAATTTCTACCACTGTACTCTCAACTGTTGAAAATAAAAATCCCATTGTAATCAACTTTTTTTAATCATATGATCTGAGAGTTTCTCACAGCTCAGTGTAGCAAGATCTACAGTTTTCTGTTCTCTCACTGGATATCAGTTACTGCCTCTCTTCAGTGATGTTGCATATCTCAGTAGCCCTCTTATTGTTGGTTATGTTGCCCACTGAAGCTCTGCATTTTTTTTCTCCTATTCCTGCATTTTCCTTCAGCTGTGGTCTTTGTCTAATTACCTTCTTGGGCCAGAATCTGCCACTAAGTCTGAGTGGCTCAAATCATATTCTGTAGGGTACATCAGAGGTGAGATTGCAGCATGAGCAGACACATGCTAACTCTAATTCTTTGGTTACAAAAGCAGTGAATATACAGCAGCACAGCTTTCAGGTCAGGCTAGTGGCCCAGATGTATGCCCAGGATCCATAAAGGCCATACGCAAACTGTTCTGAACTCTGTGTTGCCATGTCTTTGCTGCTGCTGTTAATGAGATGTAGATAGATTGACACTATGATGGGTACGCCTAGACAGGCAGCAAGCACAACCCTAATTCCATTATGGACATACTCTTAGTGGATAAATTTTCAGAACAGAATTACAAAGACAAAACAGGCTTTTCAGGAAACAGGCACATTAGTCCAGATCGTTGTCAATAATTTGAGGTATTTAATCAAAATGATGTGTAGACCTGTCAGAAAGAATATGGCATAATATAGCATTCTATAACACTGAGAGCCAAAACAACTTGATTCAAGACTTTGGCAAGTCACTTAGCCGAGCTTGTCTGTGCATCAGTTCCCAATCTGTAAAATGGGCATAAGACCACTTATTTCTTCAGTGAGGTGGTATAAGAATAGGTGTGCTAAAGATTGTTAGTCATTTGTATACTACACCGATGACGTTCATTAAATTATCTACATGAGAGAGAAAGGTTCCAGAGCAATGCAGAAATTTAAAACATATGGGTGTCTTTACACATGCTTCAGAGGTGCAGAGGGGAGCACTTGAATTAAAGCACCCACAGTGTCTCATTCAGCGTCCCATGCTTCAAAATGGCAGTGGGGGCACTTTAAGTAATACTCATTCAACAAGCTTTAGTTAAAATGCCCCTTCTGCCATTTTGAAGTGTGGGAATGCTGAATACATGAGATGCAGAGGCTGCTGGAGCACACTAATTAGCACACTCCAGCAGAGTCAATTAATTGAGTCTTCTCCGACATACTGTAATTACAGCGTGTTGAAACAGTGTTCCCGCACGTCTACAGGCACCCTATATAGCCAATTTGAATGCCTAAAAATAGAAGTATAAATCCAAAATGAAGCAGACTCCTGGTTATATCACTGCATATAAACTCATAACTAAAATTCCACAGAGAAAATAGGGTAATCTTTGGGTCAGTGTATCAGAGAAAACAGCAAATATTCATGTAGTTTTATTCAGTTGCTCTACAAACAACAGTCTTTCTTAGCATGCTATAACTCTGTTCTGGGAAAAGGAATGATTTTTAATCATAATTTAGACTCCCTTGCTTTATCATTGTGGAACGAATAAAAATCTGATTTATTCAATCAGCGATAGTTTAAGGCATTTCAAAATCTATTAAATGGGTTTCTCAAATCAAGCTACATGTCCCCATATGCACTGATTGATAATTTTATATCTGTAGACTAGGCTATTAATTTCCATTTACATTTCATAAGACCAATTTTATTGATTCTGGCAGATTATGCATAATAATATATGAATTAGCTCAAAAGCCTAGAGGAGAATGATTGAGAACAAATGTATTGGACTTCAGAGCTGCTTCTTACAGTACAAAAGGAGAAATTGCAACTTTAAAGATTGTCTCAGGAGCAACCTAACCTGACAATAGATTACTTTATGATATTTAAAATTGTTAATATTGTATATCTGTAATTGGATAAAACTATTTTATAATTCCCAAACACCAACTCATGAAATTCTAGACAGATATTAGTAAATATTTGCAGTTAAATAACCTCTTTAGTGGCTAGGTCTACAATACTACCCTTTGGGCCTGTCTACATGAGATGTTTATTGTGCAGTTGACTAATTAGCTGCACAGTAAACATTGCATGTCTACACATGTGTGCCCCTATTAGCCTGGAGTAAACTAATTTACTCTGCAGCAGGATAGTACTCGTAAATACAAGTACTGTCCTCCTGCAGAGTGAAAAACTCTGCAGCAGCATATGTCTAGGCGTTGGCGCATAAGGGTGGCTTCTGTGCGGGATTGTCTGCTGACAAACCCTGCATTGAAGCACCCTTGTGCCCCCGCCAGCCCTTCTCCTCCCCACCCCCCACTCCGAGCATTAATAAACTCTGGAGCTTATTGTTCCAGAGTTAATTGTTCCCAGGCACACGGTCAAACAGCACACCCAAGAGCGATAAACTCCAGCGCAATAAGCTCTGGCTTTTATTCATGTGCCTTAATTGCATGTTTAGCTGTACCTTTTAAGTAGGCAAATATAATCCACATTAAAATTAATGGTGCAAATAGTAACCCAAAAGCAGCAACAGAAATATTTAGAGGAACTAATAAGGGACACAATTGTATTACTGAATTACAGAGCAGCTTCCCTTTTCTTTAGTTTGTGACTAAGGAAGTTGAGATCTGAAAGGTATATAAACCTTTTTGTGGCAAGCAGCTTTTAATTGCTGACGCTGTTGCATAGATTGCATTTTAAAGATGATACAAGGAAAAGGAAATAGAAAGACATGCAAAAAGCACCAATTTTTACAGTAGTGCTTGAGTTAGTTCCATAACTGATGTAGTAATTCTAGAGTTACAATAGTGTTATAAGTTTCATTTAATGCTAGGATTTTACTTCATGAATTCTGTATCTAAATCCTAACATCACTATAGTGCCTATTGCTAAAAATCAATTTCTAATGTATTTTCATAAATGACAATGAAAGTTTAATAAAAGAAACTTCTTCCTTAATTTTGAAGTTTCCTCATATAAACTCCTTCTTTAATTTTGAATAATTTTGCCTTGGCAAGATACGTACAAATACAAATTTACATGTGTAAGGATCAATTTTTTCTGTTATTAGGACAATATTTTGCTTTTTCTTCAATAGAACAACAAGGAGTAATAGCATTTGACAAATATTTTCCTATAGACTCAGTGATAATATTAATTCATTTGGATTTATACATCCATATGTGTGTATGCATGCACACAAGAAGAATGAATGTACTTTAAAAATTCATCTCAGTCCCAGAAATGTTAATGGTTCCAGTGATATCATCCATTTTAAGTACCCATACTATTACTGGAAACAGTAGTATTCCTAAAACCGCATATAACTAGATAAACTGGTACACAAGGTCTCTTTTGTGAATTAAAAAGCAATTTTGGGACATCAGGAAGGAGTTTTACCCTTGACTTTAATAGGGTCAGGGTTTCACTTAGATTTATTTGTACCGAATTATGTATATGCATTCAAGAAAATTATTTTTCCAGTGCCAGATCCCTTATTCTTTTGAGTGCTTATTCTTGCAGTGTTTACTCAATCATTTGCATTGTTGTTCAAAGCCAGATACATACCGTAGAACATGGTTTTCATGTTTATGTTTCTTTAAGGATTTTGTTGGGGCTTTGCATCTTTTGTTAACTCATCTGACTTTATCAGCTTGTGCAGTCTCCCATCATCTTTTTGAAATATCATGCTAAGCTTTCTTTTTGTTCTTCTTCCCTTGTTCCATCATACCTATGTCTGTCCTTAATGGAAATAAGGTTTTACAGCGGTTTTTAGGTCCTGATCTTAGAGGACCTTCATGTGGGATTTGTGTGGGCACAAGGTCTGGTTCAGTTCTTTGTATGGGAGCATTAGAAAACATTTATAATATTCCGCTATAGTTTAAGATAATGGCAGTTATAATCACAAGGTTCATCCCAATGTCATTCTAATTACTCAAATACCATAACTGTTTTCTTGTAGCAACACCTTTTAGTAAGAGTATCTTCCACTGTCTAAAAACACCCCAAGGAATTCCTATACATAAAATGCCAAATATTTTGATCTCTCAGGAATAGTTCATATGGTATACTGATACAGCATTTTGCTAAACCAGAATATATCTGAGCAAGACTTGCCCAAGCATCAGAAAGAAATGTGTGATGAAATATTTTATAAAACCTTTTTTTATAAAATAATATTAAAAAGAAGGCAATGTATGCAGTAATAGTGTGTGTGTGTGTGTGTGTGTGTGTGTGTGAGAGAGAGATCGATAGGCCTGTTCTCCATCATGGGAATTATGTGACTAATGTACCCCTTGCTATCAAGATAGTTATAGTAGAAGAATGATTATATTTTAAAAGAACAATTTTACAACAAACATGATACTCAGCACAAACAAATTGGTGCATCAGTAGATTTTGCATGAGGGGCATGTTAACATGATATGTCAATGATGTATTTTCTTCATGTGACACCATAAACCCATTTGTCTATATTTACAAAAATCAATGACACAAGAATTGATATAGCAAACTACTTTGCAGTGTCTTTGTTTGCCAGTATCTTCTTTGCAACTAACTCAGGGCCAATTTTGCCCATATTTTCACAAGGAAATGAACATTCCCATATCAGTGTGTTAAGTGCCCTCTTCCTTCTCTGTACCAGTAAAACAAAAAAAATAGCAGCTCCACAGAACTGTTATGTTCACATTTGCCATGCACAGATGAGAAGCGAGTGGAGCCTAAATTTTGGGGACCATGCAGTGCACCAGCTCTTTACCCCAGGGCAATTTTTACCCTTCCCACACTCACCCTTCACCCACCCTGAGTTGAAAATGTAAAAAGAGTCACAGCCTCCTTCTCCAGATTCTTCAGGTGGACAGTCTTCTACCTTGCTTAAGACAGCTCATCGAGTCACACAATATAATCATCAGTGCGGGCTTCTACATGAGACACTTATTGCAAAGTTGCCTAATCAGCTCCACAGTAAAGCATCTCTGTCTACATGTGAGAAGCTATTAGGCTGGAGTAAATTAATTAAATCTACTGTAGGTTCGTACTGCCTTATACAAATACTATCCTATGACAGAGTTATTTACTCTGCCACAATGCACGTGTAAATGGTGACTGGGGCTGGCTGAGGCATGAGGGTACTACAGTGCAGGGCTGCGTGCCAGCTAGCCTCATACTATAGCACCCTTGTACCCCAGCCAGGCATTCTGCGGCACATTAAGCCAGGGCAGAGCAGCTCTGGGCTGGCAGGTTTTTTGTAAATGCAGCACCTGTGAGCAATAAAGTATGGTACAAACTGTGCCAGAGTTGGTAGTGTTGCACTAATTTCACATGTAGATGCACCCACTATGTAATATGATTGGATTTTGTGTTCATGTGTCTGTATATATATTTTGTGCACTATGCATCATCAAGGAACAATAGTCTAATGGTTTAATTTAGTTTTAGATAGGGTGCTAACATGGAACTTCAGAGCCTCAGGTTCTTGTTTCATCACAGACTTCCTTTTTGATCTTGGGCAGGTCACTTAAGGTCATGTTGCACATTGCGCTTATGTTATGTTAATTGCACTTAAAATGCAAGTTCCCTTGTATTCAAGCAGTAAAACACATGCTAAGTGCAATTGTACTGTAGCAAGGTTACGATTGATTTTTCAGGTGAGGGGTAGCTACGGATCGTATTAAGGCATGTTTAGCTAAGGTCAGACCTCTCCAAGGAGATAATATGAGCAATTCGAGGTACCCTTTCAAGTTGTAACCAACACTAACAAGTGACATTAGCAAGCAGAGGTGCCCTAATGGCACTACAAACCACCCAAGACCCGATCCTGCTTTTTCTTCTCAGTGAAGGGGCTCTGGTGCTGGGGCTGGGACTGCCAATTAACAATCTGTGCAAGTGTGCATGTTAGAAATTGTAGTAAGCATTACCACGAGACAGCTCAGAAGACATTGTAACTTTAATACTGCACAGATTTAACATGTACTAAGTGCCCCATGCAACAATGCTCTTAAGCCCAGATTCTCAAAATATCTAGACATCCAACAGCCTCAGATTTTGATGGACGTTAGATTCCTTAATCCCTTTTAGGATCTGAGCCTTAGTCTCCTTGTGCCTCAGTTTCTCATCTATGAAGGGGAATGCTGTGAGGATAATTACATTAAAGACTGTGAAATTCTGCTAATGGGAGGAGATGAGGACATTAGTGCATTATGAAGGGCTGAAGTTAAATATGTCACCACAACTCTTCTTGATAACACCATTTGCCTATGCACATTTTGCAACTTGCATAAATGCCAAGTGTTCATAGCAGAGCTATGCTTAGCTGCATCACAAGAGCTCAGTCCTCTAAAAACAGAGATTACTGGGAGAAAAGCGAGAGACTTTCCTACTGAGTAACAGCAGAACAAAGGGTGAAGAAATCAATTTTCCCCTCATTCCCAATACCTGTCCAGGTAGGGAGTATAATTTTCTTTGACCACGGATTTTTTCAGGGTTTGGTCATATTGATCTGTACTTACACATAAGTGTTAAGTCTTCTTAGCAGGGGTAGCAAACACCAGACTTAACAAGAGAAAAATTGGAAAGGGAGAATACAGGTGTTAAGGAGGGAAAAGGAATCTGGGGAAATAGTGTTTTTGTTCTTTCAACACAGGAGGCTTTATGGAAACGGAGGCTGCAGTTCAGGATTCTCTGGGATTAGGGAAACTTGGAACTCAAGCAGAAAAGGACCGAAGACTAAAGAAAAAGTAAGTTTCTTTTTATTTTATTTTTATCACGTTAATATTTCAATTTTGTATTTGTCTTAGGCATAATTAAAAGCATGAGATAATCAGTGATTTTATCTATCTAATATTTATTTTAGATAAATGTTACAGTTTTGTTACATGTGAGTTTTCCATAATTATTTTAAAAGCCTTGTATAAAAGGCAGACGAATATGTGGTAGTAAAGTGAAATGAAAATTGGTAAAAAAAAAAAAAGTGTTTAAAAGAAAATAACTTTTTTTAGTTTTACATTAGTTTAATGCTACCATTGTATGGTAAGGGTAGATTTTAGAATAAAGCAGGCATTGAAATAAATGTTTTACCAACTCTTATTGCACATGGTATTTAAATGAAAAAGAACAGCCATTATCCGTTGGACATAATTATTTCCATCTATTATGAAAGACAAAGATTCCCTGCAGACATTGGTAACTTTGCTTTCTGATCAGAAATTACGACCTTTTTGTAGATATGAAATTATAGAATAATTAAAGGCTTCCCTGCTGTTCATACTTGTGAAACTGATACGCTCTGAGTCTTACCAGTGTTGGAATATTGTAGGCCCAGGTAAAAAAAGTCACACGAACAAAAGAAAAACTCTATTCAATAGCATACTTCCAATGCTGTTAGGTGATAGTTGAGAAGAAAAAAGATTTAAAATTTAAAAAAATTATTCTTTGGAAATGCATTTTAAAATAATCAACATGATTCCTATTTCATAATCATTATTTTTATCATCACTGAAAGTTTCTCTCTCTCATTCTTCTGATCCTTTACAAGGTTTGATTCATGCTGTAAATTTCATCAGTGAAATTTTTTCCCTAATATCTAATCTAAATCTTGCATGTTGCAGGTTAAGTCCAATCTTTCTTGTCCTGCTGTCTGAGAAAATATGAATCAGTGGATCACTATCCAGTTGATAACAACAGTTCTTTTGGTATCTGAAGACTTCTCTTCTTCAGATTAAATAATCACAGCTCTTCTGACTTTTCCTCATATGCCATGTTTGCCAGACCTCTGATTATGTTTGTTCCTTTCCTCTGCATCTTCGTAATTTGTTCATATCTGTCTTGAAGTGCACTACCTAAAACTGGACATCGTACTCCATCTGAGACCTTGACAGTGCTCAATAGGGTACAAGAATCACTCCCATTGACCTGCTAAGGCCATTCCCGTTAACGAATCCTAGTATGCCATTAGCTTCTTTGCAACAATATTACACTGTTGAATCATATAACTTGTGTCTTTTTCTACAGTACTAAGCCTAGCCAGTCATTCCCTTTCTTGTATTCTTGCAGTTGATAGTTCCTTCCTCTAATATTTGGTACTTGCCCTTATAAAATTGAATCCTATATATTTCAGACCTTTTCTTATTTTATCAAGGTCTTTTTGAATCTTAATCTGGTCCTCTAAAGTATTTGCTACCTTACCCAGTTTGCCATTACACATACACTTAATAAACATACGCTCAATTTGGTCTTCACAAATGATTAAAAAAGATATTGAACAGTGCTAGATAGACCCTCAGGTAATCTCAGTTTATCCCTCCTCTCATTTTGACATTGAACCATTGATGACTATTCTTTGAGCATCTATTTAAAAGAACGTGATTTCATCTAGACTACATTTTCTTTGCTCACTTATGAAAACATTGTGGAGATGGCATCAAAAAGTCTAGGGTTATCACATCCCCTGCCCCCCATCCATAAGGCCAGTCCCTTTTTCATAGGAAATTTCATTGGTTAAGCATGATATATTCTTGATGAACCCATGTTGGCTGTTCCTCATCACCCTATTGTCCTCTGAGAACTTACACAGTGATCAATTGCTTGATGATATACTGCTGTATCTTTCTGGGTATTAAAGTTACATTGACTGGTCAGTAATTCCTTTGAACATCCTTTTGCCCATATTTTGTAGATCTAAATCTATTATAGCTCATTATTCAGTTGCACAATTTTATGGATATTTATCTTAAAAATCCAGTTTAGTCTTAATTCTACAAAGCTTCTTTAGTGTAGTTGAAGACAGTACTTGGAACCAATTATAATAGGTACCATTCCCCACTTACCACCCCCATTATCTGCAGTAATAACTTTCTTTTTGGTTCTGAAAATACAGTATCCCCATATTGTAATCACTGCAAAATGGCAAATGTTCAGATTTTAAAAGTTTTCATTGTGCCTATACAAATACTTTAAAATATCACTTCTGCTATGCTGTTATTTTCGTTTCCTTCAACAGGAGGGAAAAGGTTTAATCTATATAAAATAGTTTTTAAAAGCTATATACTTAACCACATCATACAAATACATTAACTACTCAGTTATTTGATGTAGTTACACAGGAAGATATACAGGGTATTCCCAGATATGTTAGTCTGATACCACCCAACCAGATTTTCTCATGCTCTCTGTTTTCCATTCTTTCCCCCTTTATTGTACCTGCCTAGCCTTGGTTTCACGTGGAGCAGAGGAAACCAAGCCATCTTTTGCCATAGTCTCTTCATTTAAGAATCTTCCGTTTGTGACTTTCACTTTATTTTAAGTAAACATTTTTCCTAATAGGCTAAGATTTTAAAATATCCAAAAAGTAATTGTTTAGCACCTAAACTGAGATGTGTGTTAAGTATCCATCTCCTGCAGACTTTTACTCCATATCTTTAGACTTCTATGAGTTTTTGGTCTTAATAGTTTTTGGCTTTTCAACTGTTGATCTTTGAGATATTACTAAATTACTTTCAGAGACAAGTTTGGACCTGCATTGGTTGGTCTCTTCACAGAGTTCTTGTAAATATACAATTTATACAATATATATCTGTATATCTAGCTGTTATATAGAAAATATAGAGTATTAAATCATAGCTTTTTAATTAATTCAATTTTATTGTGGCCATTTGTGGGATAAGGACCTGCAAAATGAATGATACAGAATTTATGTGCTTGCTTTTGAAAGATCAAGGCAATGAAATCAAGTGAGACTTTGAAGAATATGAGGAGCTGAAACTCTCAGAACTTAATTGTTTTTAAAGTTTTAAGTGGAAAGCTTTGTCTCCTTATGTCAGGCTCTTTTCTTACTCGCTTTTCACAATGTACATTTCTCTCGAAATTGAGAGGTCTTTCAGATGTACCACCTTTAGCTTAGGGAATTTTGGTTATATCAATGAGAAGGTTATCTCGTGTGTCATGTTGGTGATAGCAGAAATGGACCATACTGATGAAGACCTAATCTATGAAAAGTTTGGTATATTTATAAGAAGTAATAAAGTTTAACATTTATCAAACTGCTTTGTTCTCTAGTGGTACAGTAGTTAAATTTGAGTTCAAGCTTTTTGCTTGACTCCTTACTTCTGCCAAACAGAAGCTGTGAACACTGCAAAGAAAGCAGACATAATCCTGAAGAGGAAGCAGCAGTGTACCCTGCTTTGAAGTGGTCTGTCTGCCTAATTTACATGTGGAGATGAAAAGCTCCACAAGTACCAGACCTACTACTGATTAGTTGGAAGGGTAGTAATGAATAGATGAGAAACAACATTATCTAATAATTAAAATATATGACTGCGAGGTAGGAAATCTGTGCCCTCTGCTGACTTTGCCAGAGCCTTGCTGTGTGACTTTTAACCTAGTTTAAAAGGTCTATTGCAAGGATTTAAAAAGAGCTTGCAAAACTGTGATGACTCTATAGCTGTAAACTATTATCCTTTAGTAGTAGAAGTAGTAGAAGCTTTAGTGAAGAACAAACATGTTTATTCTTCTATATGGTAAAGATAAAGTTGAAGTGTGGCCAAAAGAAGTGCATTGTGTACTGTGAATATAAACTAGCCCTTAGATTCCACCTTACCTTATCACACAAAAAAACCTGTTAACACTTGTTTTTTGGAGGCTTCTCTGTTCCTCAAAGCCTGCTGTTTGAAACCTAAAGGGTTGAAAGAGCTGGCAGCCCTGAACATCCAGCAATATAATTCAGGGGACATGAATATCTCAACAGTTGGCACATGCTTTCATAGATAGACTGATAGACTCTAAGGCCAGGATCATTAGCTCATCCTCTCTGATCACCTCTATATTACAGACCAATAAATGCCAAGGTAGTACCCTTGTACTGAGCCTTATAATTTGTACTTAGCTAGAGGAAACCTGGTTTTGCTTAAAGCATATTCTCCAAAAAAGTGTCCAGTCTTGGTTTGCAGACATCAAGAAATAGAATCAAGTAGTTCCTGCAAGTGATTTATCATCCTCACTTTAAAAAAAAACTGCCTAATTTTTCTAATTTCTTTTTAGTTTCCAGGCATTAGTTCTTGTTATGTCTTTTTCTGCCAGATTCAGAGTTTTTTAGTTCCTGATATGTTTTCCTGTTTGTACATCCGATATTGAATCCACCTTGTTCTATATGGCTGCCCTGTCCTCCTCTTCATTTACCAGTCTAAGGCTAGTTACAGACATTAAAAATGCCCAAGGGCTAATCAATCTAAGTTATGTGGTTTTCTATAAGCAGCGTAGTTTGGATCGGTAGCAAATGGAACACACATTCGCCTGGCGAGGGGAAGGGTGCTAATCTTAGACTGGGTTTAGCCATTTTTAAACCACTGTGTGTGTGTTGAATGTCTATTCTATTATGGGTATGGACCTGTTTTGTGTGCTGAATTTCTGTTCTTTTCTGAGTATAGACTTGTTTCTGATCAATTATACCGGTAAAAGTATAATGTTTGTACTTGACCTAAAAGTCTTTGTGTCTTTTATAGTAATATAGATTTTATACTTACTTCCAGATTATTGATCTAGCATCACCACTGGAGATTTGTCAGATGACTTCAATCCTATTTTGAAGTTATATCTCCCTTTTTTTTGTTCTAAGAAAACAGCATATGGTCTAGTCCCTGTGTCCGTTGCTAAATTATTTGCTTACTCTTCTCATTATGACAACTGCTTACTTTCTTAGGCTGGTTAAAGAATTTCTCTTGGTAGCTGCTCTAACTATTCATTTGCAATTTTAGGAAAAGATCGGGTTTCTTTATTTCCTTGATAAATGCAGAATATATACAATGCTGTCACTTTAAAAGTTTGGTTCAGACTTAACACAGCACATCTATAGCTAGCTGTTCTTGACATTTTAAAAGACCTCATTGATTCTAAATGAATATTCAGGTAACCCAGTAGGCCTGACACAGTTTTCAGATAACAGTACTTCAAGCATTTAGGACTGGATTTCCAAATGTAGGCACTTAATTTATTTTGTCTCAGTTTGCAATGTCCAAGCAAATAATGAACTGAACAATCGGGTTCAGGTCAACAACTAAGGCTCTTGAATGCTATGATAATGCAAAGAAGAAAAAAAATCACATTCCAACAGTAAATTATAGAACTGAGAAATTGTTGTCCACACTATTATCCACAGGCCCATTCAAGTACAGTATTTCTTACAAACAAAAACTGTGAGATTAATTCTGGAACATTATATTTTTAAAATGGAAAAGCCTGTCACACGCAAGATTAAAATCCTTTATTAAATAAAAAAAAAAGAAAGTTTTAAGTTAAAAACTGTAAACCAGCTTGTTACTCCATATTGATTGAGTTCACTGAGTGAAAGAACTTTCAAGAGGGATGTAGATAACCTGGAAAGGGTTCAGAGGAGAGCCACCTGTCTGGTTAAAGGCCTACAGGAAAAACCCTATGAGGACCGATTGATGGACTTGAATTTCTTCAGCCTCCGCAAGAGAAGGCTGAGAGGTGAACTTGTGGCTGTCTAGAAACTCATCGGAGGGGGGCAGCAGGAAGTAGGGGATACGATGTTTACCATGGTGCCCGTCGGGGTAACTAGAAACAATGGCCACAAACTGAAGGAGAGCAAATTTAGATTGGACGTCAGGAAAAAATTCTTTACAGTGAGGGTTGCCAAAATATGGAATACGCTTCCAAGGGAGGTGGTGCTACCCCCTTCCTTGCAGGTATTTAAGAGGAGATTGGACAAACACCTGGCTGGGGTCATCTGACCCCAGCAATCTTTCCAGCCCAGGGCAGTGGGTTGGACTCAATGCTAATAAGTCTGTTCCGACCCTAAAATCTATTAAATCTATTAAATCATTTTTCTTGACTTGCAGGTGACACTCCTGTTAATATAACCCAATATACTGTTGGTCTTTACTCACTCTAGCCAGTTTTGTAGCCCTTACTCTTGTTAATGCTGGGTTCCACAAGCAGGCCTTGTTTTAACAAAATTTAAATTTCTACTGTTGAGGTAGGTAATAAAAGAGGCCTTATATCACCATGCCAGGACTTACATCCATGCTTAAGTTCTTGCAGGTTCAAAGTCTAGCTTCAAGTATTAAGAGGAAACCAGTGTTTTTACATCAAATACAGCTGATCATGGCCTTTTGAATCATTTTTTTGATGAATCAAGTACAAGCAAAAATTGCAATTTATTTGAAGTAATGCTTACAAGAAAGTAGCATTGTCCCCACATTAAACAGAAAGGTCAGTTTTGTTACTCCGTTTCAGCTTCCTTTGTGTAGACCCCAGAGGACTGTTGTCTAGTTAAATTCCTAATAATGCTCTCTATGGCTACAAACCTGCATTTTCTTCCAGCAGTGGAAGTTTCCACCCTTAGCAAACCTTCAGGGAGAGGGAAAATATAGGCGTTAAGTCTGCAGCTGCCCCCTCTTCCCTGGTCTCTACACCTTCACCAGACTGGAGTGATGCAGGTCTCAAAAAGCTAATAGAGAGATGGAAAGACTCCCCATATCTTCCCCAAACCAGGGTCTAGAGAATGGGCAGTGAGAAGGATGGGTGACTGGTGCCACCTTAGTCTCCTGGACTGATCTGAGAGAGGAGGGGAACATCAAGGCAACCCCCCCCCAGGCATTCCTCAAGCCAAGGTTTCTAGGTTTTCAAGGTTCACTGCTTCATTCCTTACCCCACTCCTAGACTGGTCTGGGAGGGGATTGGAACAGTGGGGCAATGCTTCCCCTCTGTTTTCAGGACTAGGAAGTCCCAGGTCTGAGGAAGTGTGGAGAATGTTGCCTCTCTGCCTTGCTCCCCTCCCAAACCAAACTGTGGGGCAAGAGTTTGGGGGGGGGGACATACAATCATTCATGCTTGCAAGAAAGTTTCTCTCACAAGGGAGATCATCTAGGCTGACAGCTGAAAGATATTTTGCCCAGAAGGGGCTCATTTACCTGGGAGAAACTGAATTAATTCTTGTACACTCATAATTTCTACTAGGAGAACATTAATTCTCCCAGTCGAACCATAACCGGGAATCCTTGTTGTCCCTATTTAAAAATTGAAAAATCTCCAATTAAAAATCTAAAATCCATGATTAAAATGAGTAAAAAAAAAAAAAATATATATATATATATATGTGTGTGTGTATATATATATATATATATGCTAGATAGATAGATAGATAATATATTGTATACACACAAACACACACACATATATAGGTATCAATTATACACCATGCTTTATTGATATATTCACAATTTTAAAGCAGTTTGGAAGCCTATCAGTGCCCATAAATAATTTACTACTTATTTATAGGAAAATAAATTCTAAATACCTATACATTTTGGCATTTGATTTTGGGTTTTTTATCATGGAAAGTCAGACCTCTCCCTGCCCCCTTCGCTCACCAGGACATGGGTCCATCTGTGGCTGTCCAATGCCCACCCTCCCCCCGCCTCCAACTGCTTTCTGGCACTGAGCAGTCCTGATATGCTGGTGCCCTACCCCTGCCACTGCCTCTCACTCCCAAGCCACAGCTCCCCAGCCCTTCTGGTGCCCCTCACACTCCACCCACAGCCTGCCACCCCCTCAGCTCTAACAGAAGGGGTCCCCAGCTGCCAGGGATATGGGAACAGGGACCCAGGTCCACAGCCCCCTGCCATCCCCAGCAGCACCTGCATCCCGGCTGCTGCATGTGGGAGGTGGTGCCTACTGTGGCCCCAGTGGGGAGCAGAGTGCAGTGCAGTGCCTGGCTCCCCCTCCACCATGGGTGGCACAGCCAGAGTGGAGCCTGTCAGGGGGCATCATGTGCAGGTGCCCACTGCGGGCTTGGGCTCTGCGCCTTGCTGCTTTCCCCCTGATGCCTCTGCAGCCCTGTAGGTGGGACCTAGTGCAGCAGGGCAAAGCAGAGCCAAGTGGGGAAGCTCAGTGCCACCACCATGAGCCCCGCACTCCCATGGCAAGGTACTCCCTGAATCATAATTCTGTGTTCCCCCTGCATTGCCAAGTAGTAATGATCAGATTGGGTTTGGATCCCTGATCGCAAAATTGCACCTCCTGCCATGACTATGGAGCATGGCAGGAGGCACAATTGTTGGTTGGGACTAAGGATCAGAACCCATCACATAATTAAATGAATTTATGCCACGGGGCTTAACCTCAAGCTGTTTCTGATCATAGCAAGACAAAAAACTTGTCTCTAGCTTCCCATATTCAGAGGCAGCCTTCTCTTTCAGTTACATTTCCCAGTTAGTTTTTGATGCACCTTCTTTATTAGCTGTGAAAAATTGTATTGACTAACAGAAACAATTTTGTAAGATGCCTAGATTTTATCCAGGGGTGTGGAACCTGAAAGCTAGCAAGGAAGAATTTTTCCAACTAATTGAGTTGCTGTAACAAAAGATATCGGATTTACCTAAAGAGCCTTGTCTGCCAAGGTTTTATCCAGGCACGTGATATGAGTGCTCCTTTTCTTTGCTGGGTGGCAATCAAATGATTATTAACTGAGGAAGTTATATCAACAGTGTTGAATTAGCAATTATGTTGGCAGCGCTGGGTTACACAGAGAACCAAACCATGTAAACCACTATGAATACTACTCTTCACTAATGCAACTATTTACAAACAGTCTATTCATTAAAAAATCCTGAATGTTTTAAAAAGCACAAACTTAGATCATTCATGTTTACCTTGGAATATTTTGGTATAATACTGTTAAAAACACGTAACAAAATATACATACAATTCCATTGTACAAAAAACATTATAAATGATTTCTATTTGGACAATGTGCATTTTTTTGTGAATGGTCTGCAGTGTGTGTTCTGTTTTTGGACCTTCTGCCATAAATGTTGATTGTAGGTCTGCTGTGCTACATGGCATATAATAAGGAATAGACTTCAGTTTAATGATAACTTGCTAATATCTCTAGAAAATCCTTCTATGACTTGCAAGGGCATGTATCTATTTTACAAAGCTGGAGGCCAGTTTCATAGCAAGATTTGTCATGCTTACAATTGTGCTATTATTTTATCTATCATGATTTTTTTATGGACTGCCATATATTCATTAACATTTGTGTGATTTTCTATTCCATTCATCTCTCTTCATCTCATGAAAAGCATATCTGGGTAAGTTAAACCACAGTGGCTGCTGAACATGTTTATTTTCAGCACCATACTTTATTTTCTATTGTTTTTCTTATTATTATTTCTTTTCCTTTTTCTTTGGCCTTTATGTAACAAGCCTATGTGGAGAACTAAGCCCAAACCAATTTTTCAAGATATTAAAAAACTTTATATATAATTGAATGCATGCACAGATTCAGAACTTGACCCCCCAGTCTTTGTTCTTGTGGGGATAGTGGCAGTCTCCTTTTTAAAGGAAATTGGTTTATTGTGGCTTCATGTTCTACAAATAAACCCCCCCCAATATTTTCATTTATGCATATATAATTTCAGTTTTATTTTTATTTTTCACCAATTCATTTGTTTTCAAATTTGCAAAATTGTTTAAATTGCTATGTTTATATCAGGTTTAAAATATATACCTCCACTTCCAATCTACATTGAAAATTATATATTAAACATTTTTGGTGCTTATGAAAGAAAATCTGTGCATAATGAATGAAATCTTAGATCAAAGATCACAAGACAAATACATACTTAGGGCAGGAATTACTATTTTAATTTAGCATGCATGGTTATGAAACGGTTCTACACAACAAGATTTATTAAAGTTTAATTAACCTGGAAACTCGAGGTCACTAATAACGTCTAGTAAACTTCATACTATACTGCAGGGTTTTATATTCTGCAAGTGTGTTTGGTTAATTACTGTTTTTATTACATTTTAGTAGTAATTATCTGCAGCTCTAATTTAAAGTTATGGTCTGTATTTCTAATGTCTACTCAGCATTCCAAAATATGCTTCACTTAGCATTACATGTGCTTTCAGAGAAAGCAATAATGCCTTCCAGTTTGCAGAACACACACTTCTATATAGTAGTTACAGCATTATTTAAATATGCTGTCCATATCTAGGTTACTTGTGCTCATCTTAAATGAATAATAAAGCTATCCTTTGGGGGGTTTTTTATTTAAAATGTTGTTTATTACCCACATCTTTATGTACTTTTACCTGATTTGATATTTCTATTATTACCCCCTCAAATCTCTTTTATAGTTAAGACAAAATGTTCAGCATAGGTGAAGGGTTAGCTTTGCATATATTTCCCATTACTCCTAATATACAAAGTACAAAAAAAAAAAAGAATGCTACTGAATTTAAATGATTTAAAGTGAGGATCAGTTTAGGGCAAGAGATTGAAAAAGCTACCTTCTAATAAAACATTTTATTTGGAACTCATAGAAACTCTCTTTAAAATAATTAAATTAAAGCTCTGTGGCATGGTAAATCTGACTCTGGTTGATTTAATTGCCACATGTGTGGAGCTTTTGTATCATTTATACATGCATACATACATACATATATATGTGTGTGTATGTTATATATATAGGTATGTATGTATAATGATACAGTAGCTCCACACACATGGCAATTGTGTGTGTGTATGTATATATATTTGTGTATAACCATACAAAAGCACCTCATAGTTTATTAATTATTTACAATCTGATGTGAAATATATTTTAAATGTATAATTGTACGCATAAGGGGTGGCTAATATTTAGGTTAATTTGTTAATTTTTGCATTTTACAGAACAATATCTGCGTATAAAATTCAACTAACTTATTTCATTTATCTGTATCGTAGAGACAGAATTTTCTTTATTTTAAAATGCAGAGTGACTAGAAAATACCAATAGAGGTAAATGAAAAAGACCTTGGGTGGAATTCTATTATTCTTTGTGTCTGACTGGTAGTTTTCCAGTTGTGCAAGTGGCCTTTTGGTCACTTACTTGCAGATTGAAATTTTGTTACCCCGCTATAACCTGTGAAGTGTAGACACATAAGCATATACACATATATTGAGCATAGGCAGACAAGGTTCCTTGGGTGAATTTGATATCTTTTATTAGACCAACCCAAATAGTTGGAGAATAGTTATTAAGCAAGCTTTCGGGTTCAAAAACCCTTCGTGGAATTTCATTCCATCCAGGAAGAGCACACACCAACTGCTGAAACTTCCTTAGCCTGATGAAGGGTTTTTGAACCCGAAAGCTTGCTTAATAACTATTCTCCAACCATTTGGGTTGGTCTAATAAAAGATATCAAATTCACCCAAGGAACCTTGTCTGCCTATGTCCTTAGACCAACATGGCTAAAACCTACACCCCTGCAACATGGAATATATTGAGCATGGCACTTACGCACATCTTGCAGGTTCCCTTACCCATGCAGTGTTAACATGTAAGTATACACATGTACACTGAGCAGGCACAATAGGCTGCACACAGGCTGGGCAGGTGTGAGACTATGTATGTGCACTCATTGGATGCACGTTAGTAATAGCATTTTACCAGGGCAAAACCCATGCTCCAATACTGTTTTTGAAGCTGGGTCCCTGGGTAGCAAAGAAAGTGAGGCCAGGTATCTGAGGCCATAAAAAAAGAGAGCAATTAATAGGATGTGTTGCTTGAAGAGATGGATGTTGCCGTGTAAGGGAGTAGGCCCTGGGTTCTAGTCTGGACCCTTGGTCTCCCACTCCACTGCACTCTGCCTGTGAGTAGTAAATGCAAGCTGCAGTGGCTCAGCTTCAAAAAGAGACCTGGAGAAGGGATTGGATAATGCCTTACCTGTGGCTTTGTGGGTATATTACTGTGCTAGGAAGACACAAGTTCAAACTCCCTCTACTTGATGGTCTAAAATCCTGCTTCCAACATGAGTGTGCTAATCCATTGTTAGGGCTGAAACATAGGAGGGCTTTTATTCCTTTCCCTTCGCCAATTTATACTAGCATATTTAGCGGTGTAGCTGTCTAATCAGTACATGGCCTACTGCATATCATCAGTATACAAATGTATGCTTATTTATCCATGCTGCATGAGTAACAAAATTACTAACTGCCTGAGTGCCAAAAACGTTACTTATACAGCTGGAGAGGTGCCATTTAGGTGCACAAGGGGTACTAACATGCCACCCCTTCTGTTTAAAGATGGAATCCAAAACCTACTTAGTTCAGTGGAGAAAACTATCAATCAGAATCTTGAGGTCTTTGAATCAAAGTCCATAGTTTTTAAATATTTTTCATTGAATATTGTTTTCTCATTGAGAGGTAATTGGGTTTACATCTTAATTTGAAATCTACGTGTTGCACATAATAGCATAGCATCTTTTAGCTATCTATAACAAACATGTAAAAAGGCTTGTAATTTAGGCATTTTTTCTGTAAAAAAGGGTACGTAATAGTTCTATATGTGCTATTTCCATTTACATTATGGTTAAATAATGATGATGATAGTGAATCTGCTGCATTCTGTCACCAAGTTAACATTTTGACTTTCAGCTGTTGTCTTAATTAGAAAACTTCTCTGAATAGCTATCTCATGGGAAATTAAAATCAGACTCTTCATCTACTAGTTAGCATTTCTTAGTGAAAACTACTTGTATGCTATCACTACAATTCTGTTCCTTCTCATTTTCACATGCCTAGTTTTGAATTTGTCTCACATTTGCTGTGGCATTTTAATTAAGAGCAAGTATAATTTGTATTACTGGATCTTTATGTTAAACTGGAACTATCAATGCTAATGTTGTTATTTACAGAAGTATGAAGTGTTGGGTTGAAATATTGTTAAATTCAGGTTTCATCATGAAAATGTTTTCACTTCTAGCATAGTTTCTGTACTTAGCTTTGCAAATTAGCCATTCATTTTGATGTGGTGTTTACTATGCACATCATTAAGTGAACCCTGCCTCAGCGATTACTGTAAATAAGATTGAGATAATTGCAAACGATATAGTTTTTGGACTTTTTAAAGTCAAGATCTTAATATTTGCTTATAAAGAAGTCTGAGTGAATTTTGTTTAGTTATTTTTTAAATAATAAGGTTCATTTGATATTACTCAATAAGAGATGACAACATAGGGCTAGAATATCCTCTATGCATGATAAATCCCGTATAGAAGATAGGACATTTTTTCCTCTCCCCTCATTTTTTCCACTGTAGATTGGACCTTCATGTATCCTTTGGATGTCCACAAGGATTTTTGAACATTCATGGTTACCACTACTTCCTTGACCTCTAACAGTTCAGTTAAAATATAGTCTTCCTGTTCTCCTTTTCCATCCATTGTTCCTTTCATTCATGTATTCATTCTTTCAATTTATATGCTGCTCTTCACCATACAGTCCAAGGGTGGTAAAGTTTTAAAGTTTTGAAGAGAGGGTGACAGGTTCAGGATAATCATAGGTTTTATTGTTCAAAATTTCTGAGAGGAGTTAAGCCAGAGAGAACAGCTTTCTCTGAAGTATTTTCCAAAACATTATGGAAGAGAGGTCAACACTAGGGAATTAATACTTTATCCCCAACCTCTTTCTGTGCCACTCAACCCAGCCATACCTGAACTTGCCCATCACTATTTGTAGAAATCAGTATAAACAGTTCTGTCACGAGCTCTCTTTAAAATATTGGTACTGGATGGAGGTAAAGAGTCTAATGTCATAGAATTTCCTTAGTTTGCAAAAACAATATGCATCTGTGGAGGATAGCTAGTAGGGGTGTGTGAAACATATTCATTTCAGATTCGGACCAAATCGGAGACAGTGATTCAATTGGTTGATTCAGATCACTGTCCCTGATTCAATTTGGTTGAATCCAAATCTGAAGATTCAGTGCTGATTTGGAAAATCATCAATTCAGACATAGACACAGCTTTAAATGTTTTCTCTACCTACCTCGAGGTAACAGGTACAGCTCATGAAAGATGCAATGCTGGGGCGCATGGAGCATCCCACAGAAGCATGGGGAGGGGGCCCCGTGTGCTTGGTGGTGAACATGGAAGTGGACCAGAAGCACTTCCGGTCTACTTCCGGGTCTTCTGGGGAGCACACAGGGCCCCCCCCCACGCCCTCCTGGCTCAGCGATTGGCCATGGGGGGACCATGGGTGCTCCTCCAGACCCAGGAGGCACCAGTCACCAAGCTGGGGGGGGGGGGACGGAAGAGG